GTAAAAGAGCTTTATAGTTTGTCAACACTACAAAAAAACCCTGTGTTCCTAACCTTAGTTAATTGATTTGTGGTAAATAGGAGTGAAGATGAGATGCAGCGGGATCCTAGCCCTGTGTAGTTAAAGGAGAAGGGTTCAAAGTTTGCTGTCCCATGTCAGAAGAGGAAAATTGTTTAAAACATTTAAACAACTGTTGGGAGAAAGACCAACTTTCCATGGCAGGTTTAGGGCTGGAACCAGTCGTCCTAAAACTAGACTCCCATTTCAGGAGTCTAGTTTTTACCAACATTCTTGTGCATAATCCAGATTTTCTAGCTCTGACACTGGTTGCTGTCAGGCTTGGTTAGGAGGTTACCTGGGTTTCTAAAGTTACATAGCAGCATATGGTCCGGAAAGTCTTGTTTTCAGGTCTGGGGCTTCAGTTTTCTATCTATGCAACATGTCATCTTGTCACCAAAATTCTTTGATCTGGAGCAACCCCATAGGTTTAAGATGGAATTCATCCAACGATATAGAAATGTGTGAAAGGTATGATTTCATTTTGCTCTGAAAGGAACTCTTTAAGCAGTGGTTGGGGAATTTTTCTTCTTCTCTACTTGACATAGAAAAGAGAGTGGCATTGGACATGTCAGAATTACCTTGTTCTTAATAATTTTGCCAGGTCTATACAAGATTGCATTTTCGCATCATGCTTGCAATGGGAAGCATAAACCAGGGTCCTGGTGCCAAGATGTTCCTCAAGCTACGATTTGTGATTAATTCACTTTGGAATTTGCTTTCAAGTCCATTGCATTTCTGGGTTGCCATTTGACAACATGGTTCTGCTCTGCTCAGTATTTAAAGGTGTTTCTGTCAAGTTATTTAGTAAAATGTCCAACTCTTACTTTGCCTGCAATAGCATTTTAAGTCTAGAGGCTCTGTCCCTGTCTCTTTAACATGAAGGCACTTCTGCTTTAGATCTCAAGATGTGTTTTTTTTCTAATCTGAGTTTAGTTAATTATTAAAAATGAGTTCAATAATTGAGGAGTTATAGAGATTCATCTATTTTTCAGTACTTTTGAGTGTTTCTGCTTGCAGTTCTTTTTTTTGGGGAGAAATAATTTAAATATATTGCAGCTGTTGGTCTTTTAAACCTTCTGCTCTCAAACAAGTAATTTATTTACTTGTTGCACAGTCCAGTCTCAGTCACTGAAGGTTATTTTATGAACTCTTCAGGTTTCATCTGAAACCGAGTTTGTTTTTAAGGGGAAACAAGAAGGCTTAGCACCTCCAAAGGGTGGTCCTGAAGACAGACTGCAGAGACAGGGGTCTTTGTTCCACGAAACCCCCTTTAGCTATTCATGATCTTTGTAGAGAGTTCATTGGTTCTTTGAAGGAGAGAAGCTGGAGAAGACCTTTGGGAGATTAAGGTTGTCTCCCAGCTGGAGGTCATTCCCTCCTGAGATGTTTATCAGCACATTTCCCCTCCCCATTTAAAAGCTGGGTGGAGGAGTGCCTCTGAAAAGTGGTGTATCTTACCCAGTAAGCCCATCCCTGGTAGGTGAGCAGAGGCCTGGAAACTTCTTCAAGAAGGAATAATTTGACTTGGCTGTCTGCTAGCTGTTTGGCCACTCAGTTACCTGAGAATGATACCATTCTGGGTACCTGAAATGGACCTAAGGCATCTATGTGGATCTGGCAGTTAGGACACAGGGTTAATGTCAGTCCAATGTCTTCCTGGAACAGCAGCTAGAAGCCAATTGTACATGCAAAATTACACGTTTAGGTACCTGAAACCAACCCACAGTTTCCAAACTAGGTCAAGTGAGCTGCAGACACCAGTGGTGATAGTAACTGAGGGGCTTAGTGGGTGCTGTGCTCTTTTTCAAGCTGTCATTGTTTAAACCTGTTCAGTACTGAAGCTGGAGAACATGGGGCTTGCATATTTTCCCATAACTGGAACTATGTGAGATATAGGTCACAATGCAATACTTACTTTCAAAAGAAAAAAAAAAGTGAAATTTTAGGGTTCCCAGCTGTAAATTGTTTCTAGAAAGGGGAATGGGTGATCTTAAACAGCAATGTGTGATGGCTGTTCGAGAAAGAGTGTAGTACATTTCTGTGTGGATGTATGATGGGCTCCATCAAAATCATAGGGATAGGCATATGTTATACTTAAGGCAAAGAAGCCTCAGTTATGGTCTCTCCATGATAATACACCAGAAAACTCACCAGTCCTTTTAAATAATCTAAATAACCCCTTCTACGTAAAAGGAAAAGATAAAAAGAACTGTGGAATGGGAGACAGAGAGGGAGGTTGGGAGGGCACAGTAGGAAGTCAAAAAAGAATAAGAAAAAAAAAAAAGGAGGAATGTTTGGATATTTTGAATACTCTTTCCTTTTTTTAAGAAGAAAAAAAAATTAAGAAGATTTTACTTAAAATTTTTGTTTCAGAGCTTGGAAGTGGAAAAAAGCCTGAACCAAGCCTTTTCCATTAGAGCATAATTTGGACGCAGAATGGTTGTTTGCACCTCTTAATGATAAAAGTTGTTGCCCAGCAGTGTTTTTATAATGGTTGCTGTAGTATGTGTGTGACAGATGTTCACAATGGGAGTCAGTTGTGTGTCTGGACGCAGATGCACGCAAACACACATTAAGACATGCACACAAATCAGTACTATAAACAAAATGTCCAGAGCTGGAGAAAAATTGTGTGCTGCTCAACATGCAGATGGCTGCTGTCAGTCGTTGGCTTTTATGCGAGTCCTAAAAATTCACGAGGATCACTCAGTGAAAGAAGGTAAATGAATAAAGATGATGAGACTGCTGCTAGTAAAAGAATGCACATAGGCTGATATAAGAGGGTTTTTTTGAGCTGGCTAAAACCATGTTGAGGATGAGCTCTCACAGGGATAATCTTTGATGTGTGTGTTCATGGATGGGGCAAGGTGTATCTTGTGTATGTCTACATTAGAAAACAGTGTGGCCCAATAGAATATCTGTAGCAGGAATGATGCAGGTGTCCACATGAATGCAGAGTCCACACTGTATGTGTTTTGGGGTCTGCTATACAGTCATTCTAGTCTGGTTCCGTTAGCATCTAAAGAGTATTATATGTCCTACTGGATTACAGTTTCTGCATTAGTTTCATCTAAAGGAAATTTCTTTGATGCATCCCAAAACAGTTGCATATGAACTCAAGCACATTAACTGATGGATATCTGGGAGATTTTCTTAGTTGTAAGTTGAGAATTTCAAGTCTGATTTAAGAAAAAAGAAGAGATAACAAGCCAGAAGTATCTCAGATATCTCAGTATCTTTAGATGCCCATCATTGACACACAGAGCAGGTGCTCAAATTTACTTCAAGATGACGGAGTATAAAGACCTGATTCTTCCTTCTTTCATTCTGCTGTGAATTAATTGACTTGGATGGGCTACTCCTTATTTCCATCTTCATTAAGGAAAGAATAGGGACACTAGAGTATAAGCAACAAGAAAGTGAAACAGCATATGGAGAGAGAGAAACTTGCTTAAAATAATTTGAAAATGATTTATTGGAAGCAACCTCTACCCTCAGTGATTTCTGGTGTTATTACTTTTCTATAGTACAGCCAGGGAGGACAGTAACTTGCTGTGGGCTAAAGGTAAATTATGATCTACTGCAAAGGAGGGAAGGAAAAAATATACTAAAGGTGGGTGTGTGAGGTACACGCTCTCCCCTGATGGTGTTCAGTGTGTTGGATCTCACTGGACCAATCTGTTCCAAAGCCTGCTGGGGAAAAAGAAATATCAAGAGTTAAAGCAAACTTCATGAAGCAAAGAAGGGAGGGTGAAATGGCAAGATGTTTCATTGTTGCACACAGATTTGGTAGTATGTCCACTGAAGAGGAGGGAATTTGGGAATCTGCAGTTGCAGCCTTGCTATTATCTTCCAGTGGTGGCCTAAGGTTGCTGATGTAGAGGACTTTTCTTCACCTTGCAGTTGTGCTGGCCCATGTATTCACTCTTCTTGCCAAACCTGTAACCCATCCCCACCCCCAGGGTTGTAAGCGACCTTCATATCGACTGAACCTTAATGCTGAAAATATATTTTCAAATCCAGCCAGATTAAGGCCTCACCAAGAATAAGTTTCAGCAGCGTGTTCTGAGATTCAAGTTTTAGCAAAAAAAATCTCCGAAGTTACAACATTCAAAATTGAACGGGATGCTATTTCTACTTTTGGATGAAAAAGACTGAAACAAATACTTTTCATATGAAAAGTTGAAGCCACTTAACCCAAGATTTCAAAAAATAACCCCATATTTTGAATCCTCCCTTAGAGATAGCTCTGAGACAACCTTGTGTTGCTGGCTGAGACAGTAGTCACTCTTAAAATTTTTTGAAACTAGTGATATTTGTCTTTCCATGTTACTGAAATAGCACTAATAGAAGCATGTGTTTTTGGGAATGCAAGTTACCTGTGAGCCTAGAGTCACTGCATGTTGTTTTGGACACTTGACTGGGGAATCTGCTAATTCAAAGGGCTTTTTGCACTCCAGAAAGGATGATGGTCCCTGCAGATAGTGCTTTTCTCCATTGATTATAAAGGGTGATTAAGAAGAGGGAGTTTCTCATATAGGGAATTAAGTTTGGGGAAAGAAACTGAACTTTAGCTTCTAGTGCTTGTTGAGTAAACTTCTTTCCAGCACATTTTTTCAGCTTTTGGGGTCCAATAAAGACGAAAGGTCTGAAATGAAGATGTTGCTTGGAAAGGTCTGTGTTTCTGATGCAAGCAGATCTGCATAAATCCTCTTTAGCATTAATCCTGTCTCTCCTACACAGCATCAAAAAGCAATGGGTGACTATGGGATGATTTAGCATTAATCCTGTCTCTTCTACACAAAATCAAAAAGCAATGGGTGACTATGGGATGATCCAAGCAAGGCAGTTTTTTCTAAACATGCTGCTCCTGTGTTTTTTTTTTATGGTGGTTGACTTGCTTTTTAATGTTTTTTAATTTTTTTTATTTTTTTTTTCAGGCTGGATGCCCAAAGTAGCTTTCACACTCTTGAATGTATCAGCTCAGGCTAATGACAGACGATTAGTGCTCCAGGAACCTGTTGACTGGCAACCTGGTGATGAAATCGTGGTGGGCAGGACAGGCCTTGGAGATGCACAGCAGCAAGAAGAAATGGCTGTTATTGAGTCTGTGAACAACACGGAGCTGTACCTTAGGTCACCGCTCAGGTATCTTTTCAAGGGCCAAAGGGATTTCTGTAGCAGAGAGCTAAACTAGGGGAAAAATTGGTCAAAGTGAGGATTTACTCTTTCCTGTAGGACATAATAACTGCACAAATCCCTTTAACAAAGGTGGCCAGAGATATTTCAGTTCCTCGCTCCCCCTAAAGCTAGTGAACGTTCAATCCTGAATGTTTCTCACTATGCCTAAAATCTGTGTCATAACCATGAACTCAGGAAACCTTTGAAGCGGAAAACACTGATGACCAGTACAGTCCATTGGCCTCAGCATAGGGTTGACAAAGAATTTTCCTACATAGTTAATTTCTTGAGAGAGAGCATTTTTTCACAAGAAGTGTCTGACTCCTGCAAAAAAATAAAAATAAAAATCCTCCCTTCTTGACTGATTTTCTTAATCTGATTAACAACACACTCAAAAGCGAACTACTTCAGTTTGGAAATACTGCTCTGTGTTTTCACTGAGTTGTAGTTTCCCTGCTTTACAACGTTGTCTGTGTGGAGATCTTGGTCAAAAGATACTTCTTATCATCGTAATCAGGGCCTCAGTGTTGAAAAATGTTATCTGTTTGGGAGGCAAGCCAACTCCAGTGCTCAGAAAGATTAGTGGTATCATTTCCAGAATTAACTGGTACTTGAGAAAGGAAGTACTGATGTTTTTCACCAAAATATGTTTTGGGAAGATGAAAGAAGTTCAAGGGCTGAAATATTTTGGTGTAAAGATACATAATGTAAGGAATATTTGTGAGCTTGAGAGACAAAAAGATGGAAATAAACATCAGCTGAGGAAAAATATACCTAGACCATATATGCAGATGCATTGGATATGCCACTGTCCGCAGTGAGATAGGACTGAAGCCAGCTCTGAATTTGGGTAGTTGGAGACAGCAGCTTAGGGTAAAGCATCATTCTTGTCATCCAGCAGGTGCAGATACTTTTGTACTCTTTTTGTGTCCTTCCCCAGGTACTCCCACAATATTGGAGAGGAATGGGTGACTGGACAAAGCCCGCCTTTGAGTGCTGTGGTGGCACTGATTAGCAGAAGGATTGTTGTTCAAGGAAATGTCACAACGGAGAGGATGTCCCACCTCAGACAGTGTGCAAAAGCAGGTGTTACAAGAGGTGAGGTCTTTTCTCACTGAAATGTACTGAGGAGGAAAATTGCTCCATTAAAATCACGTTGTGGTATCACTGTGTATCGGAGATCTTTCTTGATAGGGTAACTTTGAGACATACCAGCAGCAGGAAAGTGAGTTTATCTTTCCAAACATTGTTTGACATTGAAGCATGAAGTCTCAGGAGTTGAACTGCATTTCATTGAAATATCTCAGATGCACTATTTTCACATTGTTGTTTCAAGCCATCTTGGGAAAGACCCTTTAGTTTTGCCTGAGCCTAAGGGTGTAGAAAAGAAACTGTCTTCTGAAAACATGTTTCAGTGTACATAATATTTTAAATTTTTAATTGTGTTTACTATTTAGTCACTTTAAGAAGAAGGAAAAACGAAACAGCCCAATGCTGTTTGTACTCTTTAGTGTAAAATATTGAGACATTGTTTAGTGTTTAGGGATACCAAGAAAAAAAAAAAAAACAGGTGATGGTTTCTTGCAGTATTTAGTAACACTAGTGAAATGTATCGCAGTTCTATTTTAGTTTTACCTGTATGAAACGCCACAGAGTTTGACAGGTGGCTTCCAGATTTACACCAGCTGATGAGGAAGCAGAACTGGACACAGTGATTATAATTTGAGGAGAGTTAGGTTATCTGGCAACCCAGGTGTAAGTTTTCCTTTAAAAATAAAGTGCCTTGGGCTTTCAGACTGTGACACAAGACTTCATTTGATATCCCGCAGCCAACTGCTTATATTACTCATAGATTTATGGTCCATTTTCTGTGGAACTCATAAATATAGTCTCTGAAATGTGCTAACCGTTTGAGGTTTTTATTTGAGTTAAAGGATAGGAGGATTTCTCAGAGGAGTCACCAGAAGATGAGTGGGCAGTGTTGTTTGTGGTTAATTTACCTTCTTTTAAAGAAAATTGAGCATTACTGAGCATAAGCAGGCAGTGCTGGAATTTTAAATCGCCTCTGCACATCCACTGATCAAGCCGAAAGTCACATATTTGTAGCCTGAATCCCTTCATATCAAAATATCCCAAGCACAGACCTGGGGAAGGATGTCTTTCAGGAATGCCTGTGCCTTCCCCAGCCCTATGATTTATTTCCTTGTCTTCAGACTGTGGGTAGTAACAGTTCCTCACCCATCTGCAGGGACAGTGGGGAGAGCAAGAGTTTTAAATAAATTTGAAAATGTTCTCATTTCAGTTTAGCCGTGCCCAATCACCTTTTCACGAGCCTCACCCAAGGTAAATCAATGTCAAATCCATCTTCCTCATGCATAGGACTATTTAAAATTGAACACAAGGAACTTTCCAAGGCATAAAACTGCCACGGCTTCCTGCTGGTTTTAATATATATTCCTTTAAAAATGTCCAGACTCTTAGGGAAGGCCCCATGAGAGTATTTAGAGGGAGTATCAAGTGTGCTTGCCTGTGGCTATTTGTCTCTGGGCCCATGTTTCAGATCACTGCTGGAGATGGAGTCAATGTGATGGGTCTCATGATGTTGCTTGGGACACTCTGCACATCCCGTGGTCACCATGGAGAAGTAGCACTGACAGGTCCCACCGGGTTATATTCTAGGTGGCTCCAGATGTCTGTACAAGCGAAGTGAGAGGCAGCTGGGGTCCCGGGACCTGGGGGCCATCGTGGTTGTGGAGGCCTTCCATGGAGAGGCGAGTCAGCTCCAGGTAGAGGGGGTCCAGTTCCGCCATGTGGGCCAAGCATTTCGGCAGCTCTGCAGCGCTCTGACTGTTGCTGGCAATGCAAGGATGTCAGGTGAGACCACTACACAGAAGATGAACCCCAGTGATCTCAAAAGTTCACCTTTTCCTGTTCGAAGCTGGGGTGGATGTCCTCAAAACCTGCTCAGCTCTCGAGTCAGTTGACAAACTGGATTGGTAAAAGTGAGAAAACGGAATCACAGAATCACAGAAACCTCACCTGTGATCTAAGAAAACCTCACCTGTGATATAAGCCCAGGTGAAACTTGATGGAGTACTTTAAGTTGCTTTAGTTCCTTTGTGTCTCTGGACAGCTTCTTCCTAAAATAATATTTCATTTCTATGCCACACCTCCAAGTTGATGTGCTACATCTAGCTCTGGAAATGAAAGGACTAATATACCATGAGGGAACCCAGAGGAAGCTCAGGGCTGTGTGGTAGCATAGGCCAGAATTTAATTCTAATAATAAATAATAAAGCTGAAGGTTAAGGAACATATTAAGTTCTTTTGACTTTGTCACTGACAAATTCTTTTGACTTTGTCACCTCTGTGGAAGTAGCAATGAGGGCTCTGAAGACTAGTGGTGGTAAGATCAAGTTAGGTGGGCTGAGGATCTAAGCTTTCTGGTGGCGGAAGGCAGCACTGGTTATGATCCCAGAGTACAGTGGACAGGTCAACATGCCTGGATAGACAAGTCCTCATTGTCCTCACTGCACTTCTGATACATTCCTCCTCTCCTTCAATCCCACTTCAACCATCCAACTGCCTGAGATCTTCGCTCTTGGGATCCTACCCTGTCTTCTCACTGGATCTCCTCCTCCTTTCTCACGATAGTAGATCACTTACTTTCACCTATTTCTACACTCATGGCCCTTCTTCTTTACTATGGCCATGTCAGCAATGCCTGCCTGTTGGCAAAGATCTGCCAAATGAGTAAGGGTGGGCAGCTGCAATCAAGCAATTTCACAGGAGCCAAAAAGATTAATTGCTCAACATCAAAGCATGAGGAGCTAATATAAAACTGGACCCATTAGCATGAGTCCAGTAGAGGGCCATGGAGATGATCAGAGGACTGGAGCACCTCTACTGTGAGGACATACTGAGAGAGTTGCGGTTGTTCAGCCTGGAGAAGGCTCCGGGGACACCTTATACCAGCCTTCCAGTACCTAAAGGGGGCCTACAGGGGCTCTTGATCAGCGAGTGGAGTATTAGGGTGAAGGATAATGGTTTTCAACTGCAAGAGGGGAAATTTAGATAAGATATTAAGAAGAAATTCTTTGGTGTGAGGGGGGTGAGAGCCTGGCCCAGGTTGCCCAGAGAAGCTGTGGCTGCCCCATCCCTGGAGGGGTTCAAGGCCAGGTTGGATGGGGCTTTGAGCAATCTGGTCTAGTGGGAGGTGTCCCTGCCCATGGCAGGGGGTTAGAAGTAGATGACCTTTAAGGTGATCCTTCCAACCTGAACCGTTTTATGATTCTATGACTCTCCCAACCTTCAAGCTGCAGTGTGCTTTTTGTGCTCACAGTACTCATTTCTTTCCAGGCTCCTACATACGAGGTTGCTGTGTTTTGGACTCCTTTTGCCAAGGACTCCATCTGACCGGGATCTCAAACCTCAGCGTGGACAGTAATGTTTTCTACAACATTTCAGGTCATGGGCTTCTGCTGGGTAAGTGAAGCAGGAAAATAACTATCCTAGATTTAACAACAACATGTGTTGCTTACCATTTGCATGAAAATGTCTTTGGAGAAAAGAATGGCAGATCCTTTACTGCACCCTGAGAAACTTTAATCACATCTTCCACATTCTCTGGTATCAGTCAATCTGGAGTAAAGCTCCCACAATTCCACATGCAACTCCTAGAGCTATTTCCATTTGACCATACACTCCCTGTTTTTTCAGGTCAGTCTTCATTTGATCTGAATCCTTGGTTTTTTTCAGTGTACATGTGGAAGGAGATATTTTTTTTAAGGGATTGATTTATCTGTCTTTGGAAGAGCACCATTATGCAATATTTAAGACCCTGCTTCGGTGAGGCATTTAAGAGTATACTTACCTTTAACTTCAGTCATTTGACATTGAAGATAATGGAGTGAAAGCATATGTTAAAAGTTAAGCAGAGGATTTAACACTTAAATAAATTGGAGCTTGGAGCAACAAAAATGTTAAACAACAAAATATTTCTCCTAGCTAACCATCAGGAGACTGACTTGCAGCATCTTCTGCTGGGATCTCATGTTGCCTGAATACCTAAAGATACAGCTCGATTTTTGTTTTCCATCGGAGATGGGATAACAATGACCAATTTTAATATAAACAGAGGAGGGGGGACAAGCCTTCAGTCCTGATCCTGCAGTTCCACACACGGAACGAGTCCCTGTGCTAGGTCCTTTATATAAACACAGTGAGAAATTGTAGATGTCGATTTAAACAGAGGAGACCTATAAAAAGGAGAGTGATTGTACGCATCTTGCAGACAGAGAGAGCTGGCTCAGAGCGATGCAACGACTTGCCCAAGGTGATGCACAGAGTCCTTGTGCCTGTGGGGAAGCAGAACAAGATCTCCAAGCTGCCAGCATGCCTTGGCTCACTCGTGCTGGGACATATGTCAAAGGACTCTGGGCTAAGCTGCACGTTTCCACTGAAGCCTCAGCCTGAATACACCTTATCCCCAAGATGTCTTTAATGGCTTCACTGTCAGCAGCTCCAGAGGGTCTGATGGATGAATTTATATATCATTTTGTTGCCTGTGAAGGAATATTTATTATAGCTGGCTATTTGCAGCTCCAGAATTGGACTCCCTCAGTGATCTCATCTAAAACCCTTATTTTCAGGGGGTTTGCAAGACAGTCATAAAAAGTCGCTTTGGGCTTAAAATTAATTGACACACCAGGTCTCAGCTTAGAAACCAAGTCCTTTTATGCCACCTCAAAAACCTATACAGCTGTCAAAAGGACTGCTTTAGGACTCCATTCATGCTCTGATGGTGGCATTGTTTGTAGTAAATACAGCCTGGAAAGGAAATATTTCAAAATGGATCCTGCTCCAAAAATGTAGAAAGACTCAAAAGACTGAGAGGAAGGCTAAAAATAATTACTGCCATCCCCAAACCGAAGGACAAAAGTTTTCTCTGTGGAATGACTTCCATTTGGGGTAATAATGGTTGGGGAAGGGATCTGTATTTGGAATAGAACTTGACCAGGTATAGTTGAAAATAAATGTTTCAGTTTGAGAAATAAAACTAAATAGATTTTATTTTCTCCTGATGTGGTCCAAACTGAGATGATCTACTTTGTGTTCTGCTTCCAAAACACCAAAGAGGGGGACATATGCAGATGTATTCTTATTTGGATTTGACTTGTATGGGACTGTCCACTTTTTTGCTGTTGGGTGGCACTTTTCTTTGTGATGTAGTTTAAAAAGATATTTATTCTTTTTTTGGCCTTCCTACTTCAATACTGTTACTAGATCTGGGGCACCCCACGACTCTGAGTTGTGTGATCAATTGATTGACTGATTTTTCCTTTTTCTTCTCATACTCCATTGCTTAGAGGGGCAAACCCCCCACTTTTCTGCAGAGTTGCATCAGGTGCTTTTAAGTCTATTTAGAAATTTTCTTACATGTAAGTAGGGCAGTGGATGGAGACACAGGAGATAGACAGGACTTTGAATCCTAGTAGTGCCAGAAGCATGCCTGGGTGTGCATAGGTGAGCCACTTCCCCACTCTGAATCTCTCTTTTTCTGACTGTAAATGTGCTTTATAATATTCCCTTTATTCATTTTCTCTGTAAACTTCTGGTACAGTATAGCTCGTGTTATACCTAGTACAGGGTGTTGTGTGTATTGAATTGTAGAATCATGGTCTCTGTTGCCTCCTTGTAGAGTATTCCTTTCCCTGATTGCTCTTATCTTATTAGAGTATAAGGTCTTTGTCAGCCTTTTGTCATATGTGGTCAGATCTTGGTAGCAAACAGGCAGGGCAAGACCCAGCAAGTTCTGTGATTTGCATGACAGAGGGTTTCCAGCTACATTTACATTTGTGTTTCTTTTTCTTTTTAAATTTTATTCCTTTTTCCTTTCTTTTAATCTTTTCTTTTTTCTTTTTCCTCTTTCCTTTTTTTTTTTTTTTTTTTTTTTTTAAAGGGGAGGGACTGGAAGAGGGGAACAAAGTCACTAACAACATAGTGATTGGCCTTTCTGGAACAGACAGTTTATCCAACATTGAGACATTGTCACCAGCAGGGATCTACGTCAGGGCTCCTGCCAACCACATCAAGGTAAGCAGTTCACGTATAAAATGTAACATTTCCTTTCTAATCAAAGATAACAAAAAGATATGGAGCTTCATTTATCTGGGAGATCATGTACACAAGATTTGCTTCTTGGCTGAGCTGTCAGAAACTGTACTCATGCTGGGATATTAAAACAAGCTCATATTCAAAATAAATTATATTCATGGGCAAATTTATTGTTACCGAAAACTTTACTGCACTTGAGTGGGATGAAATATTGAAATGAGATTCTTCATCCTGTCATACTTTAAAAAGTTGTTTTATTTTCTAATACCTGTGGATTCATAAAAATAAAAAAAATAGGCTCAGCTTCTCTAGAATGTTTTCCCATTTTTGTCGTTACAAAAAAAAAGTCTCAATTTTAATGGGCTGGTGAATAACACACTAAAATTCAGCAATACCAAATGCATCTCTTTCTGGATTTAAAAGGACAACTTACATACAGTCCAAGATTTGCATTCCAGGGTGAAAAGGAGAATGATTTCCTCACCCTATGAAAATGACATTGATTTTAAAAGAAAACAATCTTCTTATTCTAAATAGTGATAAAATGCTGAACTCCTAAAAAGCTAACAGACTGACAACCCTTACATCAAAAACTTGAGCTCAGTAAAAACCTTTATATTAACTAATTCTCTGGTGCTTTCTTTTAGTTCATACATTTTTTGTCTTATTCAAGTCACTTTTCAGAATAAAAAGTCCCTTTTTAAAGCTTTGTGGAAAAAAAAAGTTCCAGTGATTTCAAAGCACTTTTTCTTTCCCAACTATTTTAAATCTGAAATTTCATTGACACTGACCTTTCTTACCACAGTTTCAGTTGTGATAAATGCACATTTTCATAAAAAAACTATTCTGTTTTTGACCTGTTCTATTGCTAACCCACAGAAACCAAACCAATTATTAAGTGTAAGTGAAGACCTAATCGCCCCCTGGGCTTCTGTTCCAAGAGGAAAGAATTGCACCTAAATTTGAAGGTGAAAAAGAGACCAACACATTCCCTATGTTAGTATGAAGACAACAGTGCTTAGAAAGAAGGAGAGGACTTTTCTGCAATTCCCTCAAGGGCATATTTATCATTTGTAAGACCATCAAAAAAAATACGCTTAAAACATACAACAACTAAGGCAGAATCACATGAATTTCAGCTCCACTAAACACAGTGTTTTGTACTATCATGCACTGACTTACCCTGGAGCTGTCTGCTCCATCGCCAGTGGCTCAGCTTTTGAAAAGGTTTGCTGCAATTATCTCTACGGGTATGTGTGAACTGACTCTGGTTGGTTTTCAGCACATTTGTTTAGCTCTCTTGGTTGACATGTCTTCATCGATGTGCCCAAAGCTGCGTCTGCGGCTGTGTACCCGAACATGGGGGTTAAGTCTGCTCTCCAGAGATGTGCTACTCAAGGCAGAATAGCAGATGGCCCTTGAAGGGTTGCTGATAAAATTGTTGTCAGTCCCTTGGAGCGGGCTATTTGAGGCGTTGCAGCAGCAAAAGGAAAATATGAAGAAGTTGCCTCGCTTAAAATTGTTATTAGCTGCACTTACTGTTCTGCAATACCAAGCAGTGCTCAGCAGAAGATGTGAAAGGACAAGGATATTTTCTACATGAAAAAAATAACATATTTTCTAAGCAAAACACCTGTGTCTTGTGAACTTTTTGTTAGTACAATAGTTATGACGAAATGCAAGGGATGTTGGTCCAGCACCAGCATTGTGTTGCTACAGTTTCAGCGCCTTTTATCTGATCAAGTTGCTCAAGAAGTGTATATTGCTTTGTCGGTATTTTAAATCTTAATTTAATAGGGAGATTTGAAGAGTGTAAAGTGAAAAACTCATCATCCCACTGCCTGGTTTCCAGGCCATGACATGGAATAAAAATTTCCCCCTCTAGGTTTTAATGTTAGGTCCTTGTAAGTTTTTCTCTTTGTTCATAGTTTTCAAATTGTCATTGTTCAATTACTGGTTTTAAACTTACAGGCTGCAATCTTCAAGGCAAGGATTGCTGCTAAATTAGACAGAGAGCTCTAGGTCTAAACTGTGTTACATCTTATGTGCATGATGGGTTAAGCTTTCCACAGTGAGTCCTGCATTAACATTTTCATAACTGCTCAATTTACTTGGGAGCCGAAATTTGCATTGGTGACTGAAGAGCTTAAATTTCCTGGAAAATCAGTGGTTTCCTAAATGGTGTTGAAATTGGGGCAGAGCAGTTACTCAAATCTGAGCCTACAAAGACCCTTGGAGACCCAGTTCCCACTGGTTTCCATTTGACTTAAGCTTTTAAGTGCATTTGTGAATCAAGGTGTTAGGTGAAATTTTATACTTGTACAGTATGAGTGCAAAATGATTATTACAAGGTTAGGTTGTGGTGTTAAATAAAGTTGGAAGCTCTGGTCATTACTTCTTAGTGTTGTAAGACAGTTTCACTAGCAGGCTGGTTTCTTGCCTTTTAAGTGCTATGAACATGAGGAACTGAAGATGCTCCTCTTTGATACTGGCTTTTTTATCTTCTCTTGGTTTTCTTGGTCCCATGGATCTTGGACCTTTTATAGTAATTTCCTATTCATAAAAATTAAATGCCCTTAAATCCCAGAGCCAGCATGCAGTGCTCATGCACAACAACATACAGCCTGGATTTAAGAAATTCAACAAGCATCCTCCCTTTCCTTGCTTGTCATGATGTTGGGGACTGGGAAACAGCTTAATGAATGAACAGGGAGGAGATCAATCCATGTTTCCTTATGAGAGGAGTGACAGATGGTCACTGTGCTGTTGATAAATGAATTTATTTCCCAATATTACCCAACCCAGCCATTGTCTGAGGTACCAAAGAGGTGAGGCTGCATCCATTTGGCATCAATTGTTTCCCACCATTTCATCCCTAGTGAGATCTTTTCTAAAGCTTTCTGCAAGGTGAGCACATATTGAAGCAAGCCCACTGGGGTTGCATCCTGCCAGGTTCTGAAAACTGGGGGAGCGGTGCTGGGCCCATTCTGCAGAGCTTTAATGTCATCTTTAAGGTCATGAGTTTGAGTCCTGGCCATCTAAAAGAAATTCATGAAATATTTACATTAGCAGTGTTGTACGGTTAAGAGACACTTAAAACGTCAACCACTTTATTTTACTGACTTGCAGAGCATACCTCCAGGTATTTGGCATGCTCAGGGAGATAATTTCTCTCTGGAATTTTGGTTGCATGGACATTCGTAATATACTGACTTCCACAAAGAATTGATTTCCACACAAAATTCCCTGCTTGCCTAAAACCCCTGCCCTCCAGCCACTCGCTGGCTGAATAAATATGCAGGTTTTTTTCCTTATGAATCATCTGTAGAACGCACGATTGGAGTCGCAAGTAAAAGACCCTGGAAATAATGTGACTGGACTGCAGAAGCATTTTGTTAAAGGAAAATGGTCTGTGGCTACACTTTCAGGTAAAAGCAGCAGTTTTACCAGGGGATGGAGTCTGGGGTATTGATACTTCTTTGTTGCTTGACAGGTGTCAGAGATCACAACCACAGGGAATACACTTGGATGGGTCAGAAGAAAGTAATTGGTATATGGAGGCTTTCACCTCTAGGTCACCAGGCTTGGCTTTGATTTGGACCATCAGGGACCAGAAAGTCATTAGTGTTTTAACACTGTCCGGTGACCTATGAATGGTAGTGGTGGGTGTCAGTCAGTCCCTGTCTTAGAGAACAAGCTCTTATAGCTCATCTCAGACTGCCCTTAAAGAACTAGATACCTCCAGATAGCAATTATATAATGATAGACCAGATGAATTGCCCTCTGGACATGCCTATGCCTTATTTTTTCCTGGGAAGGGAGCCTAGGTTTACTAGCCTGGACTTCAGCATCAATTTTTCACACATCTAAGGTAGATGAGAAGGATCATGGCCAGATGTGCACATGAAAACATGGTATGGACACCATGCAAAACCATCTCAGTTTGGCTGCTGTCTAAATAAGCAGGTAAGAACAAGTTTTTCCCCAGACTGGGAAAGCTCCTAACCCACTGACCACCACCCACATAACCCGCTTGCTACAGACTGTATAAGTACCTAATTTCAAGACCAGGCTGATATTACTTTCACTTTTTTTTCCACCACTTGCAATAACAACTGTTGGACTTGATGGTCTTAAAGGTCTATTCCAACCAAAATGATTCTATAATTCATTAAGCTGTATTAAATGATATAACTTACAACACATCTTCCCATGGTTATTTACTTACCCTGTCAAAAAGAATCCAAAATAAGTGATTCGCCACAAGTCTGAGTAAGTTTTGTGGTTCAGCCACTGACATACCCTGAAGATGTAGTTCTCTGCTTTCTCTTGACTTTTAGGGGTCTCACATTTCCGGACCAATGTTGCTTCCTTCTGCTGTATTTGCTTTGGGAGGTATGAGGAATATACAGACTGAGAAGTAAATCAATACACTGAGTAGTCTGTGATTTACCTTTCTTTCGTGACATGGCCTTCTTACTTAGAAAGGATTTTGTAGGGTTAAGAAGTTTTCCACATGTTTACCTACTTTCTGAAGAATTATGGGAGTACCATTTTTCTGTCATTTATTTCTATTGCTTAGCCAGCCCTTGTTGCCTGGCTTGAGAACAGGGTTTGTTTTAAGAGTGGTCCAAGGACAGAGCAAAAACAGGATGAAATTGAGGACACAGAACAAGGAACCAGCTTCTGCCAGTCAGGCTTACCAGAATTTGAATGGACCTCAGCTGAGATTTTCATTTGTGTTTTTCTTAAGTTTATTTTAATTTCCAGAAAATTCTGGTAACCTTTTTTTTTTTCACAGTCACATATGCTTCTCTGCAGGGTAACACAGTGTGTGCTGCTGGGTATGGCTATTTCTTTCATCTCTCCCCTGAGGGACCATCCAAAATGCCTCTCCTGTCCTTCAGCGAGAACGTAGCTCATTCCTGCACAAGGTACTTGGGGATCTTTGGGTACTTTTTGGTACTTGGGTACTTTTTTGGTTCAAGAGATTTGCTGTCAGTGCACGGTAGTGCTAACTATGATTGCAGTGGTGAGCAGAAAAGGCTTTGCCCCTCCTTTCAGGATTTTTTTTCCCAATTTTCACCCTCTTAGGGCTTCCTCTCTTTAAGCAGAGTTCTCCACAGCAGAGCTGAATCAGTGTTTGACAGCGATGTGGTTGGGATTGTTTTTCAGAGCCTGATCATGAATTGTTTCCTTATTAGTTTCAATACAGTCCCTTTTTTGTTTGCAAGCCTGATTTGTGAACTTACAGCATTTCCAGTGCTGTTAACAAGCTCGTCCAATTTACCCCCTTGTTTAAACGATCCTGATGTAGTTTAAGGTGCCACATTTAACACATTTCCTCATCAACCATTTAACAGCAAAGCACTGAAGTGTGCGCTCATGTGTTAAATTTAAAGCTCATTTTTAAAGCGTACCAGACGTTTTTAGCAGAAGAGGGTGACGTGTAGAAGAACAGATACACAATTTCTTTCTTGCACTCCTTTAACACCTCCTGTAGGCCACCATTAGAGACATGATACCAGCTAGGACAACCTGGAGTGGCATTTCTGACCTCCAGATGCTTTATAGCATGCTCCATAGCAGCATGAACATTCAAATATTAGAGTTTGGCCTCTAATTAGGTAGATTGAAGTAGAGACTAAGCACTTCGTAGTCCAACAGGATAAAAGGTGCTATACATGTGTCAGACATTACACAGAACATCCAGGAACTTCACCAGAGCTTTTTCCTGTACTTCCGTAAGACAGAGGCGATAGTAAAAAATGACATTGTGCTAAAAGTCAATGGAAAAAATTCACCTGAATGTTGAGGAAATCTGGGTATTAATCTGGATTTAAAATCTCTGAGAAGGTGAAACCAAGGACTGCATTCAGGACATTTGTGTGTTGTACATTTGTGTTGTGGACCAGGACAATTTGAAACATAATCCAAGCTGGCTGAATCCAGGATCTAGAAGATCCTTATCAGATTCATGTTGGGCTCATCTGAAACTGACAATGTTTGAAAGCTCCTGAGCATGGTGAGGGTTTTCTGCAGTGAGTACCTGCCAGTGGTGCTGTACAGTGGTTGTAAACCCTGGTGCAGGTAATTCTGAAAATGTTTGAAAAAAAGAAGTTTTAAATATGCTCTCTGGCATGACCAGGTGTCTAAAAAAATATATTTGCTGTCCACTGATTTTTTATTTTGTATTAAATTATCGATAAAGTTTCACGCAGAGAACTGTTATGGATATAAGATTTTAGATATCAACATGATGAAAAGGAAAATCAGCCCCTGAATTCATGCACTGTGAAGAAACAGTCTCCTTTGCTTTCTTTCCTAAACAGGTACGGGCTGCTGGTGTACCCGGAATATTTGCCAAAGAGCCCAAACAGACCTGTGCAGTTCAACAACTTCACAGCTTGGAGCAACCAAGGTGGAGCACAGGTACCTTTGTTCTGACCATCCTCTGTGATGCTGCCATGGTTTAACCCCAGTAGGCAACCAGGACCACACAGCTGTTCACTCACTCCCCACGCCTCCGTAGGATAGGGAGAAGAGGCAGAAAAAAGAGAAGAAAAATTAATAAGTTGAGATAAAGACAGTTTAATAGAACAGCAACAGAAGAGAAAAATAATAAAGGTAAAAGAATGTGCAAAATAAAGTGATCATAGAATCATAGAGTAGAATCATAGACTGGTTTGGGTTGGAAGAGACCTTAAAGATCATCTAATCCAACCCCCTGCCATAAGCAGGGACATCTTCAACTAGATCAGGTTGCTCAGACCCCAGTCCAACCTGATCTGGAATGTTTCCAGGGACGGGTCATCAAACACCTCTCTGGGCAACTTGGGCCAGTGTTTCACCACCCTCAATGTAAAAAAATTCTTCTTTATATCTGATCTAAATCTTCCCTCTTTTACTCTAAAGTGTTAATGGTCTCAGTGGGAATTTTTTCATCCTTGTTAAAGATGTTCACTTCTTACTTTTTTTGTTTCTTTGAATTTGTCTAGCTTCACTTTCCAGATATTGTAGCTCCCTATTACTTAATCTGATTTAAAACCCACACCACCCTTTATTACCTGATACTTTCTGCCCACACTGGTGTGCAGCAGCTGTGATGCTCTAAACCTCCCATCTGATAACCTGGACAGACCATATGTGTTTTTCTGTAGGTGTGTTTTCTAGTCCAACCCATCCTATGGCTCTTCCTTTGAAGCTGTCCAATATTTCAGCTTATTTTTTCAGACCGGTGCATTCTCTTTCTGGAAAAGCTTATTTGTATGAAAAGAAATAAAACAAAAGGTTGCTTTGCAGCTTTGTTTTTGTGGTTTTCTCTGCCTACCTTGGAATTTCTATGTATGTTACTGACCTAGCATACATTAATAACTAAGTTTATTCTGCCTCTTTCCATGGGCTCCCTCTAGGAACAGTCTTCTTGCTGTTAGGTGACTGTAAGCAACACCTCTGGTTATTTTCAGTGTAGAATCTTTCTGCTACAAACATTAATTTCTTTACCCTAATTCTTTCCAATTGAAACCCCCCAATTGTAGAGCACTTTTACCCTATCTATGGCTATTATCAGTTCTGATTTCCCTGCATACTGTACTTTTTATTTTAACATGAACATAAGTTAACAGAATGCAAAGGTTGTTGTATTATTAATTGAAAGCAGAAATTAGATATTAGGGGGAGTTTCTCAAATACGAAATATACATTCAACTCTTCTATGTGTTTTTTCACATTTACTTTCTATTGTGTTGTAAGGAAAGCAGAGTTATAAGTCAATCTTTTAATTATTATTGATTATTATTCCTCTATTATGCTTTCATATAGATTTTTAGAAGCAGCAACCTTGAAATCCAACATTTCTGGATTTATGCTTGCAAAGATTTTGGCATTGATATCGTAGAAAGCCTGGGAAACACTTCTGTGTCTGATAGCGTTTTAATTGGACACACTGGGCAACAGGTAAGAACTGCAGGAATTATTTCAATGTCTCCAGTCACACAGCTACCCTTCAAATTGGAATTTGGGGAAATAAAAAAGTAACCTAAAGAACAGCCTCTGCTTCGTGGCAGCTTGGGTAAAGCTTGGATTTTAAATGGATTGTATGTAAAGACAAATGCAGCTTCAGGATGAAATTTGGACACTGATCTGTTTGTTTAGTCCTCTAGCTGTGTCCCGCTCCCTGGAAAAGTGATGCCTTCAGTAGCAACACCTACAAGGGACGTTAATTTGGTGGTAAAGTAGAGAAACCTGGAGTATCAGTACCACTTTCCCAGCCTGCTGGAACCAAGGATTTTGGTGCTTTTTCTGCTAGTAGGAGCAGAAAAGAAATAACATTTGATCAGCTGGATCCTGCATAATTTTTCCTGTCCTCCATTCATACCAGCTGGTGGTAGAGCTGAATAAACATCAGCTATTGAGAAACTGGAGATGGCACTCTGCAGGAAAATTCAGGATTTTTTCCAAACACATTTTTATTTCAGTATGGAAGTTTAGAAGAGATTTTTTTTTTTTTAATTTGAAACAAGCGATCTGATTTTTTCCCCATTTGAATTTGGAACTATTAAAAGATATTATATTATATTAATCTACATTTTTTATAAAACAACATTAAAAAATAAAACCAAAATCGCCTTTCTCTTCAATTTATGAGCTGAAGGATGGCAGTAAGATAAATGTTAATCTATTCCCTGCTTGTATTTTTTCCAAGATTGACATGGTCTCAGAAAAACATTAGAAATTTACAGAAACTAAATTTTTGAGAAATTAATAGTCTAATATAAATTCCTGTACACCTTTGCTATAATAAAAAGACTCCATTTAACAATACACAACTGGGTTTACTTTAGTGGTTTGAGAATATTGAAGAGGAACAACAGATTTGATTTCTATCCTGGTTAACACTTTGGTTTCCTTTGCTCTTTCATGGCATCATTGGTCCACCTGGAACACTGAATGTTACTTTTTAACTTCAGAATGAAAAATGCTGTTGAAATGTAACATTTTTATTTATGCAGTAAATATGATCTTTTGTTATTTCTTTTGGCAGCTGGACAAAGTCCTTTGGGTGCTACCAGGTTGTTAACAGATTAATAACATGGATAACAATGGAATTTTAGTTACAACTGGCCACAGCTGCTTGTTCATGATTTTGATGGCTTTTTTTTGCTTTGCTCAGTTTTCTATTGTTGTTTATGAAATTAATTTTCTCTCTGACTGGCAGAAAAATAGTTTTAAATGAGTTTTCTTTAGAAGCTCACAGAAAGAAATCTTGTAGTGGGTCTATTGAAAGTATGTAGCTCAGATATAAGCCTGGCCTCACCAGTCCAACCTTGCAGCATCCCAATGACACGATGAATTTCTCTTGGACACCAAAGGGTGGATGTCTTTGTTTTTGCTTTGCAGGATCCATGGAAGGACTCCAATGTTGTACTTGTTAAGAGATTTAGAGGCGCTCAGCTGTGCCTTGTTTCTTGCAGTACCCCAGGGGGGTGATTATCTTTGATTATCTCATGATAAGAGCCCCCTTGTCATAATTTACATCTTAATTTATGTAATTCTCCCTTTAATAATGATGTCTCTTTAATATCAATTAAAACTTTATGACATTAATTTAATGGGAACCTTGGATATTCCTCTCTGCTAGCCCTTCCAGTTTTTGAAGGAAATGCTTTAAAACAAGTTTGTTTTCTGGAAATATCAGGGCATTTGAAAACTGGGGCTTTGATCAATTAAAACATTAGTGGCAGGGCTAAATCAAGGACCAGCAAAAGCCAAGGGAAAGATTTTTATTAGCTTCCTACACATTCACCAAGTCTCTTCCATGCTTTCATAAAGCAACTCATTGCCCTTGTGGAGCCCTTAGAGGAAAAACATTTCTTCCTGAAAAAGCAGAAGACCCGAGACAGGTGACAGGAATTGTCATCTCACACCCTTCTTCTGTTTGTTATCTACTTAAAAAAATATAAACTAATTTAAAAAAAATATAAATGAGGATGGGATGGAAGAACAGGCAAGTGTAAGCAAAATATGGTAGTCTTTCTGAACAATTTGTTACCAGAAGCCAGGGATTTCTGCTTAACAGTGACTTTCAAGAAGATCGCCCAAGAACCAGGACCATCACCCCGGGTGTTTTGGCCTCAGAGTGAAAAAGGTGATGGATCTACTGAAGCATCAAAAGCATCACCTCTTCAAAGTGACAAACCATTTATAAAAGTCCGTTTCATTCTACATATTCATTTTAAGTTTCCACAGAGGGTGGATTTCTCAATTGATTCTCTACTAACACTTTTGAGAGTTGTTCCACAAAAGTGTTTATTGGCCTCAGAAACAGCATCAAGCATTCCTGCCAGCCATTTCCCCTCCAGGCTACCCACCAGCTCTGAGCACATCCTTCTTCCCAGCCTGTCTCCAAGACAAATTGGCAGAGAGATGTACACCTCCCCTGCATCATGGCCTACAGTCACCACAAAAATCTAGTTTGTCCATTGTGTTTCCCATCACTTTTGGTTTTTACTTTTCCTTTTCATGTCTTATGTTTTCTCCTGTCTCTCACTTATATACTTAACTTCTTGTTGTTCTGATGAACCCTGATGTCGACCTGAGCTTTGAAGAAAGCCTAGAATAAATGCTTCCCTCCACCCCCAATAATACACAAGGGCTTTGAGTCTCAGCAGTCAGGTTTTTCTTAGAACTTAAATTGGGATGATTAGCTTTGTGTAGTAGTGAAATTTCCTGTCTGCTGGACAAGATAAGGTGAAGTAAAAAGGACTGTAAACAAATGCTGTGCCTTCCAGGTGGATTTTTTCTTCTCAGGGAATGTGCAATTTCCTTTTCCTTCAAATGTCCAACCTTTACTAATACTCAAAAACTGGACAAAGCAAACAAGGCAGTCACTGCCCTGAATGTAGTACTGTCATGTACTGCAACTGGTAAATAAAACAGATGTTACTTGTCAGGATTTGAAAAGAAATAGCTTAGATCTGTCCTTCAAACAGCATACATTGCTCCACAACCATGGGCTTGAGTGCAACCACATCCTTGTGTCCCAGCTGCTGCATCCCCATTAGACTTGAAGACTCACATGGTGGAATGTTTCCCAGAGCTCTTCATTTTTTCATTGCAGGAGAGGACCTGTATGTCAGCAGGACTGAAAACACCCAAAAGATACCAGCTATTCATCTCCAACACATCTTTCAGGAACTTTGATGCGAACACTTGCGCAGCGATCAGGACTTGTTCTGGTTGTCACCAAGGGCAGGGTGAGTGTGATTTATGCTTATTTACACAGTCCCTGGCTTCCTCCCATTTCAGATTCAGCTGTTTAGAAGTTCATATTGTCTCACTGACAACCAATGATAGATATTTCAGCTGAATCCCACAAAAAGCTCTGTATAATGATGAAGAGTACTGGCTGCCCAGTTTTGCTTCTATAATCTTGTCACTGTGTTTGCTATAGATGAACTATCAAGAGGTAGGTTTTGAGGTACTTGCATACCTGCTCTCCTTAGGTTTCACTGCACCAAATAGTTCATCACTTAGTTGAAGCCACCTACCACACGTATTTTTAAGATGAAGGTAGCCTAATTTTTGCACTGATTTCATTTTCTCACAGGAAGGGGTTTTTATGCACTGTCTTGTTACTGCTTCTTCGTTTTGGGAGGTAGAATTTCAAGAGCGATGGTTTCTTTAATAGCTATGACACAACCTTGCAGAATTTCACCAAGCTCCTACCTCAGGCCAGCCTAAACCTTAGGTGAATTTGCCTAAGATAATGTGTAAACTAAGCATCCTTTTGAGCTTTGAAGAGGCACCCAAAGGCTCTTTGATAAATGTTCCAACTGCAATTACCTCTTAAATATATTTATATATAAACGCATACTGCCCTACAATAACATAACAGAGAAAAAGACTTCAGGAGGTGAGATCAAAGAAAAGGGGAATAG